CAGCAGCAGCACCTCCACCTGCAGCAGCAGCAAGACACAAGGTCTCCTGAGGACACACCCAGAAGCAGCCCCGTCAGCCTCAAGGGGCTGCGGGAGTCAGCAGCAGCAGCAGCAGCAACAACAGCAGCAGCAGCAGCAGCAACAGCAGCAGCAGCAAAGATTCCTCTCGTGCTTCCTCCGTTCCTGCAGCACCTGCCGCAGGCCTTCGTAGCGGAAGTGGTTGCTGCTGCAGCAGGAGGCGGGTTTGCTGCTGCTACTGCGCCGCCTGGGGCTGCAGATTCTGCTGCTGCTGCTGCTGCTTCTCCTGTTACTGCTGCTTGTGGCCCGTCGGTGTCTCTGGATTCTCTCGACCCCTCTGACCCAGCAACAGCAGCAGCAGCAGCAACAAGTGCTGCTGCTGCTGGCGTGCGGGGCTGCGTCTACTACGAAGCCTCCGCCAGCAGCAGCAGCAGCAGCAGCAGCAGCAAAGGGAAGTGGGTCGCCAGCTGGGTCTCAGAAGGATTCACCCGCTGCAGATTTTTCCCCGTTGGAGCAGCAGCTGCTGCTGCTTCTGGCTGGGCAGCAGCAGCAGCAGCAGCGCAGCAGATGGCCCGCGTGTGGCTACAGCTTGTTATGTGCAAGGCAGCGGCAGCAGCAGCAGCAGCAGAATCGGCGCATGACCAGCAGCAGCAGCAGCAACAGCAGCAGCAGCAGCAAGTGCAAGCACCTAGTGCACAGCAGCAGGAATCTAAAAAGCTGCTGAATCTGCAGCAATCGCAGCAGCAAGAGGCACAGCACCAAGGTTCTCAGCAACAGCAGCAGCCGCAGCAGCAGCGAGAGCAAGAGCAACAGCTGCTGCAGCAGCGCCAGCAGCAGCAGCAGCAACAACAACAAGAGCAACAGCTGCTGCAGCAGCGCCAGCAGCAGCAGCAACAGCAAGAGAAACAGCTGCTGCAACAGCGCCAACAGCTGCAGCAGCAGCAGCAGCAAGAGCTGCAGCAGCAGCAACAGCAAGAGCTGCAGCAGCAGCAGCAACAACTGCTGCAGCAGCAGATGCAGCAGCAGAAACTGCAGCAGCAACTGCAGCAGCAGCAGCAGCAACAGCAGCAGCTGCAGCAGCAGTTGCTGCTGCCGCGTGTGAAGGAAGAGCCTTCACAGCAAGCTGCTGGGCCCGCAGCATTCTCCGCATTACTTTCTGCAGCAGCAGCAGCAGCAGAACAAAAGGCAGCTGAGCAGCCAGGAGCAGCAACAGTCCAGATGGATGGAAGAGCAGCAGCAGCAGCAGCAGCACAAGTAGCACGCGAGCCAGCCGAAGCGGCACCAGACGCGGCAGCAGCAACGGCAGCAGCAGCAACCGTAGCAGCAGCACATGCAGCAGCAGCAGAATTGGAGGCGCTGCAGCAGCACTTGAGCTGCTGCAGCGGCCGCCCTGGTCTCTCGTTTGCTGCTGATAAGGGACAATGGATCATCGACACAGTTAGGGCCCTGCCTGCTGCTGCTGCTGCTGCTGCTGCTGCTGCAGCAAACAGCAGCCTCCTCACTTTCAGCGTGCACACCCTGGGGTGGCAGGGGGCCCGAGCTGCTGCTGTTCGCTGCTACGACGAATTGGCAGCAGCAGCAGCTGCTGCAGCAAAGACAGCAGCGACAGCAACGGCAGCAGCAGCATCAGCGACTGCAGCAGCGGGTGCTGCTGCTGTTGAGCCTGCGTGCAGCAGCAGCAGCAACTGCAAGGACGGTTCTGCTGCATTTGCTGCTGGTGAGGCAGCAGCAGCAACAGCAGCAGCAGCTACTTCTCCCTCAGACGCAGCCACGAGCCCAGCAGCAGCAGCAGCAACAGCAGCAGCAGGTACAGCAGCTGCAGCAGCAGGGATTAAACAGCAGAGGGGAGGTGGGGGCGGGCGGCAGCAGCAGCAGCAGCTGCCATCTCTTGAGGAGCTGCTTGCTGCAGTGCAGCGAGTAGATGTCCCCTGCGAACCAGCAGCAGCAGCAGCAGCAGCAGCAGGTAGGCGCCAGCTTTCCCACAGCCTCAGCGGCGAAGCGCTGCCTAACAGCAGCAGGAGCAGCAGCAGCAGCAGCAGCAGCAGCTGGACAATACAGAATCTGTTTAGGCCGCACCTCCGCTTCAGCCGCAGCACAGCAGCAGATGCATTTAAGGGGGGCGCGTGGAGACTTGAGTGGCTGCAGCCGCGGCAGCAGCAGCAGCAGCAGCAGCAGC